AATTTAATTTAAATACAAAGAAATTAACAGGTAAGTATAAATTTAATGAAGGTGTCATTGATATAAATAATTTTGATTTAACAATAATTTCCACATATGGAAATGATTTATATAGTTTTAATGTTAAAGAAATGAAAGTATTAGAAACATTCAAAAACACTACTTCCTTGTGGAAAACAATTGAAACAGAAACAGGATACATTAGTGCTGCTATTTATGACGGTTTAAAGTTTTTTGATAAAAAGTTTAATTTGTTAAATGAAATAAAAACAAAATCAATTTGCTATGCTGTTTGTAAAATAGATAATAGAATATTTTATAGTTCTTTTTATCAAAAAACTGTTTACGTAATCAAACAATAAATTTTATTTTTCATCCTTCCACTTACATTTCTCAAATAACATAGCTTCTCTTAAATTATCATATGTGTATGGTTCGTGTAAATTTATTGTTTCTTGAAAGTTAGACTGAATAACCTGAAAAACTCGTGATCTTATTCTCATTTGTGGAAAAGCAAGGTCTATTTTTCTAATTTCAACTGCTATATCTAATATTTCTTCGTTGTCAAGATGTCTCTCAAACAACTCTAGTGGATTATCAACCGGATCAACAACCTGTAAAATCTCTAAACCTGCTCTTATAAACTTATCTCTTTTTGTTTTAAGACCGTTCTCTAGCAATGTTTTTTTCTCTTCTATTATCTGATGGGAATCTAAAAAAAGATCAAGTTTTTCCGGTTGTAACTTCTGGATGGCATTAAGTCTTTCTCTAGACTTTTGATTGTTTATATCATCATTAAAGTATCCCTTAGCAAACGAAAACGGGTTTTCACTATTCAAATATTGTATTGGAACACCTTCACCATCTTTTTCTATTGCCATTTTGTTGATAATCTAGGGGTTAAAAATAAAAAGATTAGAGGAATGTTGGTTTATTAGTTTTTAAGATTCCCTTCTCTATTTCAGACAACTCTTCAAAATTCTCAATTTGAAAAGATTTTGCTTTATTAATAAATTCTTGAGATATTTCAGTTAATGAATGACCAGGTCCATTAAATCTTAAACAATTATCATGCATCAAAACTAAATCGCTAATAAACTCATCAAAACTTGAATAATCATGATTTCTATTTTTTGTCTTCATAGTTAGAAAGTCAATTGGTTTTGAAATTATCTGTCTATAAGTTGGAAACTTCTTTTGATTAACTGGTCTATGAAAAGGTGTTGAATATGGTATGGCTGTAAATTGAGATATCAATCTGGAAAATTTATCTGAAAGTCTTACAATTGGGGCTTTCTTTTCTACCGTTTTCTTTTTAGAGGGTCCTTGATAGTTGGGACAATTCTTGTTAGTTTTCATGTGTCCAACTTGTCCACAACTAGAACACTTAAGTGATGTTTTTTTCTCTTCAGGTTTAGATTTTCTTTTAATCTTTAAATATGCTTTTATCACTCGTTTATCATAAACCTTTTCTATTCTTTCTTCTATTTGTCCATTAATTGTATAATACCTTTTAATGATTAAAGCGGCTTGTTCAGATAATCTATTTTCTTTATCCTCCTTATTAACTTCTTTCTCATCAAATTTAACAGTTCGTTGATTTTCTTTCAATAAAGGTGGTGTTTTAGATGATAATGCCATACTCTGTCTTTTAAAAATCTTATCAATTAGTGATCTATAAATAGTTTGATGTTCACTAAGAAGTTTTCTTGACTCTTGTTCAGAGACTTTCTTATACTTTTTTCTTACAAAACTCATTGCCTCACCAATACCAGTTGGTTCAATCTTACCTTCTATTTCCAGCAATCCTTTTCCACTTGTAGCATTTACAAAGTTTCTCGATAACACCCAACTTGGAACATAATCTTTATCATCTTCATCAACATCAATCAATTTAAATCCTAATGATTCTACTCTTTTTTCTTCAACCAACATACTTTCAAATTGACATATATTTTCAGGTGTAACTAGTTTTCTTAATTCGTCCTCCTTATAGATAAGTGATCCTGGTTTATATCCAAATATATTTTCTCTGCTTGATTTGTCTGGATCTGAATACTCCCTAATCCATTTTCTTTTAGATCCTTCTGTAAAAAATGGAAATGTTTTATTAAGCTCCTCTATAGTAAATGACTTTTTCTTCATAAAGAGTCGATGACAATAAATTTTAAGCCTATCACGTGAAAATTGATTTAATTTTCTAGAATGTGGAGCAAATACCTCAATCTTAGGCAATTCTTGTCCAACTACAAACAATTTAGGAATTTTTCTAAATATTAACTTTCCGTTAGAATTAATTACAAGATAATCTTTAGTAGTGTGTTCATATACTGGAGCTACGAACATATTGTTGTCTAATACACACACTGTTTCACCTCTGTGAATATCACCATATCCCATAAAAGGCCCCTCTTCTTCACATTCAAGTACTTTAAATCCTTTAGTTGTATGTTCATTTCCATCATCCAACTTTCTGTAATATTTCTCAAAAATACTTGCCATACCAGGTTTAGGCACAAAAAATGGAAATTCTTCTGAATACTCAAAAAGTATAAAATCAGTTAAATCATTACAACTCACTTCATAATGTTTTCTTATTGTATTAGATTTTGCGGTTATTTGCATAGGATTAGAAAAATAATATGTTGTATTTAATAAAGTGTTGGTACTTCTATGCCAGTTAATTAACTCATCTGCAGTAAAATTAATAGCAAAAAATTCGTTGGATAATTTGAGTGCAGGAATGGAATGTTGAACTCCGAAGGAGACAAGAGAACTTTTAGAAGTAGTTTCAATTTCATAATATTTGTCATTACTAAGATTATATCTGTTTTTTAAAGGTTTATCAAGACTACCCACTTTATGATGTTTTTTTCTTAATCTTGGTTGATTTTCGATTGGTTCAAATATCAAATTAGGATCATCAATATAAAGTGATAATGGAACTTTAGGTGGTTCCTTTTCATACATCACG